GGAAATTTCTCTTAATTCTAGGTTGCTTCTCTCCTTGATTATTTTCCATTTATTGTTATTGTCTTGCCTTCTGGTGCTTTGGAAAATAGATTGACCCCCCTCTTCTTTGTGGCTGTCCCCCAAATACGGGAACACTACTTACACCACTACCCTTACATGTATATAGGGACCATAGCAATATAGGTTTGCTCCAAAATTAGTATTTTTCTAATATAAAATAATTTTACCTTTTTGTTTTACCTTTTGGTAAGTTTGAATTGCTGTATCTCATTCTGATAGTATTCATTATTCTTTTTATAAACTTTTCTTAAATCTTGCACTCAATTATTTTCATTCTGCCCAATCTATGGTTCCCAAAATATCTATGTACAGTACATTTTTAGATTATATAGCCTATGTACGGTGTCACAAATAACATTAGTGCTTTTTCTTTTATGTACTACTAATTTATTTGCTACCAGAATGCATTCTGTCCAGCAATCAACATCCAGAGAATTGAAGGCAGGGATTGATGTGAGACAATCTATCAGAAAAGAATACCCTAGTTAAGGAATCAACAAGAAGAAAACAATGCTCACAGCAACACTGTCAGAGCAAGCTACTATATATAACCAGGGATCAAATCCCATACTCAGTAGCACTGATATTGTTACTTAGTTGGGTACTGAAATGTCTGCAAGAAAGCAACCTACTTCAGAGAGTACCAAGGACTGCACAATTCAACACTGAGTTGAATATATTCTCTTCTATTGGTAACATAAGAACAGACCCATTCAGATCTCTTATGAATGTCAACATCCTTAAAGGAAGTAATATTTGGGCATTTATTAATGAACATCTTCAAGTAGTAAATGTTTGATATTTGGTAATAGATTAGTACCATTTAAACATCATTTATCTTTTCAGCTAAGACGAGTCTTTGGAAAAGGAATGCCTTCGTTTCCGCCAAAATTTTTCCTTACAATGACAAAGTCAATGGCTGATGAAAGGAGAACGCAGCTAGAACAGTATCTACAGAATGGTATATTGAATGCTACTTTGGCAACTGATTTTTTAATGAGCGTTCAAGCAAATATTGAATTTGTGCATGCTATGATTTCATAGACCTAGAAAAGGTTGAAAGGAATTGTGCAGAAAAACATGTTTTAGATGACTGAGACTTTAAAGGAAATTTATCAACAGATATGACAGGCTGCATTTAGTGAAGTTCTTAAGGGCCAGGAATTCTGCACTATATCCTTTCTACTGGGGCTCACTAGGTTTTTTAAACAGTATTTCATGAGGTTTTGGGACTCTCAGAAAATGCTGTGGTAGAATGGGAAATTCAGTGATATCTGGAGTGGAAGTTCTGACTTCAGAAGAGTCTGCAGTCTGGGGGGGGGAAAAAGCAAAGAATTCACCTTGTACAAGTATTACAGGAGCCTCTGTGGCGCAGTAGTTAGAGTGCAGTACTGCAAGCTACTTCTGCAGCCAGTTGCCTAGGGTTTGGCAGTTCAAATCCCACCAGGCTCAATGTTGACTCAGCCTTCCATCCTTCCAAGGTGGGTAAAATGAGGAGCCAAAGTTAGGGGCAATATGCTGACTCTGTAAACCGCCTAGAGAGGACTTTAAAGGACTATAAAGCAGTATATAAGTCTTAAGTGCTACTGCTATTATGAACTAAATCTGATTTCTTGAGATTAAGCATTAATATATAAGAAACAAAAGAAAACATTTCATTTATGAAAATCCTAAATTTCATTTGTTATATGCCTTTATCAAAACTTTAATTATTTCATCATTTTATGCCATCAAGTCATTTTCAACTTATAGCAACCATAGATTTTTCTCCATGAACAGCAAGATTTTAGGATGTGGGATAGTTTTTTCTGATTCAATTTGTTTAACAAATTATGCATATTTTTTCTCAGTGTCTATCTTGACCATCTGTGGAATATTTTAAGATATATTTTCTATTCTATTGCAATTTCTTCTATTGCAGTTTCCGTTGATCCAAGTGTTACAAACAGTGATGTCTTTATTAGTTTCTTTAGAAAATTACAACAGGTAAGGGTTTCTTTGTTTCAAAGTAAGGTGGTAAGAGAAAGACAGTTATCTGTGCTCCTGTCCTTATAGACTAGAAGCTGGCTTGTTGTTACTGTGGACTATAATAAAATATTTAAACATGGAGTACTGGCATTCAGGATATCAGGCAGCCATTTTCTGTTCCTCTGTTCCTTTTGCCTGACTTTTTGTCTCCATTCACAGCAATAATCAGCCATTTTGTGTGCATTAGTGCATGTAGTCCTTAATTTATGACTGTAATTGACCCTGGAATTACAGTAATAAATTGTGCTAATAAATAGTGTTAAGAATTGTTAATTCTGACCAACTTGATTACGCTACATTTTTTGTAGTGGTCATTAAATAAATCACCAGGGTCATCTATGCTTGTTAAGTGATCCCATTATCCATGGTGGCCATTGTTTTGTCAGAAACCAAAAAGTGAATGCTGGTTTCTAGCAAAAAAATAATAAGTTGTGGCCATGTAACTGCAAGACACTGCAAATGGATGTAAATGCTGTGGTAAAATGGGAAATCCAGTGATATCTGGAGTGGATCGGTTGCTCAGTGCTCAAGATGTGATCGCAAGATGAGGGAGCTGGGAAATTGAAACTTCTAATCTGTGTCATAAGTATCTTTTGGGGGGGTCTGTCATAGCTTCAAACAGTTGCTAAGTGACCAGTCATAAGCCAAGGACCACTTGTATGTTCAGCTGTGAGCTGATCTTAATTACTTCCTTCTATGTACATGGCAGTATTGAGTTCAAACCGCTTTGGTTTTTGGAAATTATTCTTGAAATTAACCATATTAAGTTTGTTCGAGGCTAAAATTAGAGTACATTCAGTGATAAATTGCTACTTTTAAAGCAGCTCAAACATGGGGATTTTAAAAATAAACATTAATATGTGAGATTTTCAGTTTAATAATGTTCTTTATTAGAGTGTACTATGGTTTTTTCCCTCTTGCATTCAGTTGACCGAAGGAACGTTTTGCTGTAAAAGTCTTGATATCTTTTGGGTCCTTACAGGTTTCTCAGAAAACATTTTGAAAGGTTCATTGAAGTATGATAAGCTTCTTGAGAAGCATTAAGTAAATATTTTGGACTTGTGGCAGGACAAAAGGTGAGAGGTGTGTTGACGTAAAAAATGTCAACATCTCCTTTATGTTACAAGAGCGGTGACACTTATCGCTTGATACACACTTGAAGGTACTGTTGTAGCATTTTTGTTTCTGAACTCTCCGTGGCTGAGAAGTTGAAAGAAGGGTGTCAACCTCTTTATGGGACGTTCAATGGTTTCTTTTCCAAGCAATAAGAATTTGATGGCAGCCCCTGCTATATAAAACCATAAGAAGTGCCCTGCTGGATTGGACTCCTTCTAGTCCAACACTCTGTTTTCAGAGTGGCCAAAAACATCACAAGGAGGCCATCATACCACCACCATTAGGGCTAGTAGCCACTGATCACCTGTACTGCAGTAGTCAGTAACACAACTCATAAATTCCAATACACACACACACACACACAAGCGTGCGTGTACACACACACACACACACGTGTGTGTGTGTGTGTGACCATTTTAGCCATTGTCTATCCATTGCAGCATGAAGCCCTCTTCTGCATGTTTCCAATCTATACACTCCTGAGCTTTCTTTTCCCAATTGGGCCTGCAATACATGAAGTTAATTAAAATATATATATAAATAAAATTATATTATATTAAAAAATATAATCAGCCTAATTATATCAGGGCAAAAGGATAGATAGATAGATAGCTACAGATATAAAAAGATAGATATATAGATATAGATACATTGCCCTGATATATCCTTTTGTCCTGATAAAATTATGCTGCTATTTTAACTGACGCATCATTGGAATACCCAGGAGCTTTGCTAGTCACACCTGGATGGTTTGCCAGTTTCCCCCCTAAAAAGCGATGATTCAAATGGGACAGTGATTCTGCCAGTACAGGGAAGCACCTCTGCTTTTCTAGTGTGCAAATCACATCCTATCAATCTTTAGAGTAAAACCAATAGTGAAAATTTAGGAAGGCCTTCTGACAGTGAACGCTAGTTCATGCTTCCCTATCAGAGCCATAAAAGCCTAACATTGCCAATGTCTTTTCCTCAGTGGTGGGATTCAATTTTTTTTACTACCGGATCTGTGGGCGTGGCTTGGTGGGCATGGGAAGGGAAGGATACTGTAAAATCTCCAGTCAGAGGTGATATTTGCCGGTTATCCGAACTACTCAAAATTTCTGCTACCGGTTCTCCAGAACTGGTCAGAACCTGCTGAATACCACCTCTGCTTTTCCTACACTATCGGTGCAGGGACACTTAATGACCATTCAAAATTATGACGCGCCTCTCCAGAGCTATTTACAACCTGGTTTGCAAGTTCTGACGGCTGCTTCTTCCTGCCACGGTCACCTTTTGAGTGCTTAGCAACCAGCTCACATGTACAACTCTTTGCAGCATCTCCCCATGTGACCACAATTTACAATATTTTTTTTTTGCCACAAACTGGTGTTTTACTTCTACCTGGCTAAAATGCATGTACTTAATGACGATGCTATTCGCTTAGCGATCCCTGCAAAAAAGGTCATCTAATTGGGCCTGGTCAGATAGTGGCCTGCTTAACACCTAGTATGATTGATGACTGTCATTTCGGGATGGATGTCTCTATCTACCTGTATGGCTGTCCATATTATGCATGCATGCATGCAAAAAAATGTTTACAGCCCATTTTCTTTCTCCCCTAATGAAGGTGTAGGTACCATCTCTTGTGCTTATACAGTAGCTGAAATTCTTCATTTGTCAGAATAATCTCCTCCTTTTGTGCTTTCAAGGAGGGCTTCCTGCACTCACTGTAGATTCTCTGTAGTGTCCTTCCTGTGTGCTCTGGTTTGCAGTGTTTTCTCTTTCCTGTCTCCTGTTTTGTGTGCTCATTCCATCTGAGTTGAGAAGCACAAAAAGGATTGCCTGTACATTTATAACCTGTACGTTTATTGCCTGTCATGTGGGCATGTGGTTGGCATATCAGTGGCATAATCTCTGATTAATAGGGTCTGGCCATCTTTTCTAGGGATATCATCTTGCCACTTTCACATCATTTTAAAATGTTTCCCTTTAAAGCAGGGGTTCCCAACCTGGGGGTGCGAGACGATATTCCAGGGGGTGCGAGAAAAGTCCAGGTAAATAATAGGATATTGGCTATATGTTGGCATTTTTATTATTTATTTCAGGGGGTGCGAGGTTCGAGTGAAATTTCTTTAGGGGTGCGGGGTGAAAAAAAGGTTGGGAACCACTGCTTTAAAGTCTTGGTACATTTGTAAATAATATAAGGATTCTTCCAATAGTTTAATGGGAGCCTCTCTTTCTCTGCCCCCCACGCCCCCGAGCACTGCATTAGAGTATTGCTCTATAAAATAAGCGTAATAAGTGTAAAATAATGCTGTAATTAGTTGACAGCACAATCAAATCACTGGGATATAATGAATATGGAAAACAAATATTCTTATTCTATTGCTGTCTAAACAAATACAATTAAACTTTATAATTAGTGCTAGGAAATGGTCTGCAAATCATGTAGCATTCAATAATGCTAACTTTTAATTAAGCAGTGGATGAAAATCCCAAGTATTGGTTTTAATTATCAAATGTATTTGCCACATTATCTCCCAAAAGCTTTGGCCTAAACTTGTAATTTAACATTTGCATATTTTCTCCTTGTGTATTAGTGAAATTGTGAGCCTAGCTAGCATACTGTATTCTTTACAATATGTCTCTTGGTTAATCGCGACTGATGTGGATGTGCTATAGGTTGTTGCGATGATTATGATTAGTCACACAGTTAGTCAGGTATTTAGACAGTACTTGTCATTTTTTTCTACCTATCAAATCCTTCCCAAGGACCTAGGATAGACAGATATTCTTGCTGGATAGTGTTAAAGGTATCATTCCAGAATATAAACTATTCCAAGTAAAGCTGCTTTTTACAATTGACTGGTGGTGATTTTGGCATTCAGTGCCATTCAAATGATGCTCCAGATGTTTTATTAGTTTTATTACACCCAAGAGGCCTAATGCCATTGGTACTATTTTTGCTTTCTTTTGCCACTATTTGCAGTTTTTAATATTTTGTGATTTTCTACAGTTCCATTTATTTATTTATCTATTTTTTTATTTGGAAATTCATATTGTTGCCTATTCGCACATGGCGACTCAAGACGGCTTACAGGAAAATATCTATCTATCTATCTATCTATCTATCTATCTATCTATCTATCTATCTTTGGTTATTCGGGTTTTCTCCTGCGTAAAATTGGAAGTAACTTGGCGACGTTTCGACGAAGTCTCATTCAGGCTTGTGTCTTCGGCTTGTGCTTCTCAGAGTAATGTGAGCTTACAGCTGCTTCTTCCTTTTAACTGCTAGTGGGGGTGTGACTTGAGCTGCTGAGATGTGGTCCTGTTGTTTGGCTTCGCGTTCGTGGTTGTGCCACATCTTCATGGTGGGCGTCTGTTCGCTTCATGTAAGGGTCGGAGGGGTTTGAAGTGGGTAGTGATGCAGCTGCGGTACAGCTTCTGGTCCGTGGTCGTGTGTCATCATCTGTGTGGGTGAAGAGGGATATGACATCGAAGCTCACTAGTAGGTTGTTGGGCTGTAGGTTTTGTTTCTTTACGATCTCAATGAACTGGAATGAGTTTCTTACGTGTGAGTTGATGGTTTCTGCATAGGGCTGTAGTTGAGCTTCGATGTCATATCCCTCTTCACCCAAGTGCCTATAAAAGAAGCCTTGACAGCCATCCAAAACAAATACAACCCCCCCAAGCACATCCTAGATCTGACCAGCCACTGCCTGTCCAATACATACTTCACCTACAACGGACAAAAATACAAACAAATAGAAGGAGCACCCATGGGATCACCCCTCTCACCTGTCATCGCAAACCTCTACATGGAACACAGCTCTAGAAAAATATGATCACAAACTCAAACTCTGGCTCAGATACGTAGATGACACCTTCATAATCTGCCCACATGGGAAAGAAAAACTGAACAACTTCCTCACACACCTCAACAGCCTACACCCCAAAATACAATTCACCATGGAAACAGAAGCTAACAATTAACTTCCCTTCCTAGATGTCTTAGTATACAAAAAATCCAATGGCTCCCTAGGACACACCATCTACCAGAAGAAAACACATACAAACTGCTATCTAAACGCACTCTCACACCACCACCCAGCACAGATCAATTCCGTAGCTGAGACACTCATCTCCAGAACAAAATGCTTAGCTGATGAACAACACCTAAAAACCGAACTAAACACTCTCACCAACGTACTAACAGCCAATGGATTTCAAAGAAAGAAGATCACCCACCTAATCCAAAAAGAAACCCCAACCAAAATCCAAGACAGAGAACAAGAGAACGGCAAAGCCATCCTCCCATATATAAAAGACACTACAGACAAAATCAGCAAGATCCTCCAAAAACACAACATTAAGACAGCATTCTTCACAAACAGAAAAATATCCACCATCCTAAAGACAGAATCAAGTTAGAAAACCAAGGAGTATACGAAATCCCATGCACCGCCTGCCCCATCACATACATCGGACAAACCAATAGAAGAATAAGTGCATGCATTGAAGAACACAAGAACTCAATCAAAAAAGAAGAACCAACCTCTTCCCTGGTCCAACACTTCAAAGCCACAGGACATGAGATTGACTTTAAAAATACCAGAACTATCACCAAAACTGAACACTTCAACAACAGAATAATCAGAGAAGCCATAGAGATAGAAAAACGCCCACACAGCATGAATAAACGAGATGATACCTCCTGCCTACCAGCCATTTGGAAACCTGCCCTCATTAACAATTGAGTACCTAACATGAAGAATGACACCAGACCCACACCCACGAGGGCCACACAAGACACTACCACCACACTTCCACGTAGAAAGCAGACTCACACCCACACAGATGATGAGACACGACCATGGACCAGAAGCCGTACCGCAGCTGCATCACTACCCGCTTCAAACCCCTCCGACCCATACATGAAGCGAACAGACGCCCACCATGAAGATGTGGCACGACCACGAACGCGAAGCCAAACAACAGGATCACAGCTCACCAGCTCAAATCCCCCGGCAACTAAGACTAACCTGAGCACAACCAAGCCCCCATCTGAACAGAACACACCCCCAGCCAATCAGAACACAGCCAACCCCCCAACCAATCAAGTCACATCCCCACTAGCAGTTAAAAGGAAGAAGCAGCTGCAAGCTCACATTACTCCGAGTAGCACAAAGCCGAAGACACAAGCCTGAAGATGACGAATGAGACTTCGTTGAAACGTCGCCAAGTTACTTCCAATTTTACGTGGGAGAAAACCCAAATAACCAAAGATCCACATACAAATACCCGCGAAAACCTTAGAAAACAAATGTGTGTGTGTGTGTGTGTGTGTGTGTGTTAAAATAACATAATAAAATAACCCCCCACCCTGGCAACAACATATCACATGAGCCATTTAATGGGCTCCAGGCCTGCAGGCAGAACCAGGTGTTCAGTGCCTTCCGGAAGAGTGTTAGAGTTCTAATCTCTGGGCCTGGGAATGATGTTCCAGAGAGAGGGAGCCACCACAGAGAACGCCCTTCTTCTGGGTCCCAGCAGGGATGGGACTCACAACATTCCTGGCCTTTTTCCATTCTGCTTTTTCTAGAGTACATCTATATCCACTATACAGACTTTTTTTGGTCTTTTTTATCAATAATTGTTAGTCTGAAATGTTTGGCAGGTGCTTGTTCCTTTGAACTCTAAAATCGTAGAGGACTTTAGATTCCTTTTTTGGTTACTTTGTCTAATTTGTGGTTTGTCCCTCCAGCCTCTTCCCTCCAGTTCTTCCTTGGAGTTAAATGGTATTTTCTGCAGACCTCCCAATGCATAACTGTTGCTAGTTTTGTCATTGTCACACTGTTTCTAGTCAGCTCCTGCAATCTTCTTACAGCAGCTCACTTGGTGGTCCAATGTTTCTTTGTTATAAATTTGATTTGCATGGCTGCTCATGGCCACCCATCTCACTCTGGGCAACTTACCACAGGTTAAAAAACAAACCAATAAAACCATTTTTAAAAATATATATAATAATTATCAAATGAACATAGTGGAAATGTTCTGATATCCTGATATATTATTTGTAAGGTATTTATAGATTGTCTTGCAATTTTATGAGCAATAAATCAGTGAACAAGTTTATTACACCTTTTGCTCCCCTCTGTAAAATTTGCAGTTTTTGCCTGAACATTATAACTTCAGAGAAATGATTGGTTTCTTGGAAAAGGTGATATAAGCTTAATGGCTCCTTTACCTTCCCTCCAGTTTAGCACTAAAATACTTTTTCTTGAAATAAGGCCATGTTTTCAGCATGCTGATGACCACCCATCAATGCCTTCAATCTTAAGCTTTCATGTCTTGCAGGAAACATTTAAAATCCAAACCCAACAAGCTTTTTTGGATGTTTATCTTCCTGATGGAAGGTATCTCAGGATTGATGTTCAGACATCAGATACTGCTGAAAGAGTGCTAGAGGCAAGTAATATATACACATTGATCTGGCAGCATCTCACACGAAGTGTGTCCAAGCATAATTAGCAGCCTTCCCACTTTTGAAGTATATTGTTACAGATGCCTCATAAAACAGCTAACGGGCTTACACATCACACAAAGTGAGAGTTGCTTAATTGTGGTTTATTGGTTTATAGAATAAGCCATAAATCTTAAAACCCAGCCAAGATGGTTTGCGCAGCATACTGTGGAATTTCTGTTCAGAGCTATCTGCAGGGTATGGTTTAAAAAATAATACAAAAACAGATGGAGCTTCAATTGCATTGTTGTGGCCGCCATCTTGTCTTTATAGACCATGCCCTGCAGCAGGGGTGGGATTCAAAACTCCCAGCAACCGGTTCATTGCCCAGTTGCTGGGTAGGCGTGGCCATGGTGGGCGTGGCCTATCAGAACTTCCATGAGGGCCGTTTTTCGCCTTCCCAAGGGTCCAGAAGCTTCCCTCGGGCCTCTGGGAGGGCAAAAATGGCCTCCCCCGGGCTCTAGAGTAGAGGTGGTATTCAGCAGGTTCTGACCAGTTCTGGAGAACTGATAGCGGAAATTTTGAGTAATTCGGAGAACCGGCAAATACCACCTCTGACTGGAGATTTTACAGTATCTTTCCCCTGCCACGCCCACCAAGCCACACCCACAGAACCGTTAATAAAAAAATTTGAATCCCACCACTGCTCTGGAGGCCTTCTGGAAGCCAGAAACAGGCCCATTTCCAGACTTCTGGTACTTCTGGAAGGCCCATTTTCCCCCCTCCCAGAGCCTCCATGTGGATCCTGCACTTACCTACATCAAAAATGGGCCACTCTACGAGGGGAGGGAAGGGGTGGGTGGGGCCAGCCGGTCAGTTCAAATACCGGTTTGGCAAACCAGATGCAAATTTAACATCTGGTTCACCCAAACTGGTCCAAACCACTAGAATCCCACCCCGGCCCTACAGACATCCTTGTTACTGTACAAACCATAGTGATTGAGTGCTAAGACACAAACCAATCCAGACTGGTTTAGGATTCAACTTATTTTTCTCAGGGCAGGGTGTCTTGTGACTAGCTAAAGAGATAGGCCAGTCAACAAAGTGCTTATTTGTCATGACAATACTTAGGGTTTCACCAGAGAGAACTTGGTAAAGTTTTTTAAAATAAAATATTTCATTTACTTAAAATATTTTATCTCACTTTTCTATCTGAAAAAGAATTAGGAGGGGAAAATGTTTTGTATTCAAATTTCCTGTAGGAGAGAATTTGTAAAGACATCTACACTCAGTTAGCAGAGGGGCAGGCAAGAGTTTCTTAATAAAAGCTCACTAATTTTTTAAACAAAATAGCTATGGAACTTAAAATAGTTAATTTGATAACTTTAACTCAACAGTTTAAGGAGAAAATGCATCTTTCGTTTTCCTCCAGGTGATATCATACAAGATTGAACTTTCTAGGGAGCTAATACGATACTTCGGCTTATTTCTTATTCACGATCACAACAATGGACAAATATCTGGTAAGAAAAGTTTTGTGTACCACATTTTACTTTCGTGTTGCATTCCACCTGTATACAGACAGTCCTTGCTTAATAGCTGGTCTCTTAGCAATCTTTCAAAATTACAACAGCCCTCCCCCCCCCCCAAAGATACTTACAACCCAGATTCAACTTTCCAATATCCCTCCCCCACCCCCGTGGTCATGTCATTGTATTTGAATCATTTGGTAACCAGCTTGCATTTAGGGTACTTTTTGCAGTATCTTGCTGTCACCGGACCACAATTTACAATTTTTTAAGTGGCATATTTAGACTGAACTATGTAAGTACAAAGACTGAACTATGTAAGTACAAAACACAGCAAAGCATCCATTTTCCAGAGAGTGGCAAATTGATTGTGTTTAAGCCAGCTCAACCTGCAGAAAGTTCAGCTAGCATCTTTCAACCTACATATAATTCAAATGACAGCCCAAATAAATTCATTTCCTCCCCATCCCACCACCCTGGCAGAACAGACAAACACAGGGGGTATGAAAAAATTTCAGGCTCCCTAATTCCAATACAACATCTATTGTTAACACTTCATGGCTATGAGGACACATCTGAAAGTAAATGGGGAAAGTCTGCTAATATCTTAAAATCTAGACAGGAGAAGTGAATAAACACAAAATAAATGAATATATGAGTAAATGAAAACCATATTTAAATTGCTCCTTTTTCTCCTTCCCGTGATCAGCAGAATTGCATAATTTATAAAAGTCCCAAAAGTCAACAACTTGTGGCACATACACAGAATACTTAGCATCACCAATCATGTATTTAATTAGCACTACATTTAGATACATATGTGTCTCTTTTTAATAGAATTTTTAAAAATCGATACGTCTTCTTTCCCCCATTTTTTTAATCCATCCCCCTCCAGTGTTGAAAAAACTAGCAGAATTTGAACTTCCTTATGTGAGTCTCCGGAGTGCAAAAGAATCGGCTTGTAAGATTGGGATCAGAAAATGGTGAGCAAGAAGCAGATGTAACATGAGCAAGAAATTTTTTAAAAATACCAATGTGCAAGAGGGGAAAAGTCATAATATCAGTTCCATGTATGTTACAGCTTGTGGAACAGTAACCTATTTTTTTTAATTTGGCACTTTCCAACTGCATTGTAAGCAGTATATTCAGAATTCCCAAAAGTTCAGAGAGTTGTCACATCAGTCAATGTATTAGAAGTATAATTGGACAGCGTGTTTGAAGTAGAAATCTAATCCAAATTGTCTGTTAGCATCTAATTTCCACACTTTGTTTGGATTGTCCATTAAAGTCCATGGTTGGAAAATCTGGTAAAGCCTTTTTCATAGGAATTAAAGGACATTTAAGGATGTGTGGCCAGTTACATTTTTTTCTCCAGCACCTAATGAGTTTTTTTCCACTAATTCTGTAAACATAGTGTTATAATTGAATATAGAATAGATTCATCTATTGAATATACAATAGATTCATCAGTCTGATGAATAAAAACAAGAACAAAATAAGCTTGTTCTTCCCCATGTTTTCTTTGGGGCTTTTGGCACATACATAAAGCCAAGAATAGAAAATGATTTTAAGGAAGGTATCATACATGTAGTATCAAGCATGATCATAATATGCAATAAAAAGTGTGAACTAGTTGCTTTATTTTTTTTTTTACCTACAATATTTTTGGTTACATTTCTCTTTGCATGTATGCCACTGGCTTAATGGCTTCTCTTCTCTTGTACATTTTTGGGCAGGTATATGGATCCTTCTCTAGATAAAGTGTTGATGGACTGTAGAACTTCGGTGAACTTACTTTATATGCAGGTATGCTTAAAAAGGAGTGTGTTCTTTTTAAACATTGCCAGGCAAATTTTGAGATGAAATGACCTATGATTTATTTAACTTTGTGAATTAACACAGTTTCTCAACTCTATCCTATACTAGTCTACAGAAAGTAAACATATGTACTCTAGTCTAATATTTACTTGCTTATATATTTTGTTTTGTTTTTTCAAAAAAGGTTGTACAGGAGCTAGAGATGAGTTGGGTCAAACCTACTGAGGAACAGAGGCAGAAGCTTCTAATGCTGCAAAAAGCACCAAATAAATTGAAGGTAACATGATTTTTAAATTAGGATGGTCCTTTTCAAGAATATCAGTAACATGGTTACTGTGTCTTCTGGGTCTCCAGTAGGTGTAGAACAAGCAGCGTAGAGGGACGGGCAGAGCTGAAGCCGGGGTTTTAGAGACGTGTGTCCCTTAGAGAATATGTCAGTGTAGAACACGTTCATATTTTCTCTTTTATATAATGATATTAGCAACTGTACTGTTAAGGTTTCTAACCTTTTGTTTATAAATATTTGTAAAAAACAAACAAACAAACAAAAACCTTACCCCCCCCCCCCTCAAAAATATAATGGTTCGTGGAGCAAGAAAAAAACAAGAATATATGTTATCGTGTGAAGATACCAGAGAATGGATCCTTGTTTAAAGGCCAATCTTTTTCTTCAGTTTTATTTGAAGAAGAATATCAACCTCCTGTCATTATGAATTTTTCAGATTTTGTAAATATCAAATATAGCCATTTAGAACTGAAGCTCAAAATCACCATGTCTAAAATTCAGAAAATGCCTAACTTGACTCTGTTGGCATGTCACCTCCAATTTCCTGAACAAAAGCAAAACAATTCTCAAACTTATCCATATCTACCCTGAATAGTGGCAGATTGTACCCCCTCCAGGCCTTGACCTCAGACCTGGGGCCACCATTGTCACTCTAAAGGCTATTTTGTGTCATTCCTCAAGGCTCATGAATCTTGCCTCAACAGCCCAGTGCTCCCCAGGATCTGCCACACGCTACTTACCTTCGGATGATGTCCTCTTTGTGTTGACAGGTCCCTATGGGACTTGGAGCACCTGAGGCTGCTCCAGGTCACACAAAGTTCTTGAAACAGCTTTGTAGAAGGATCTTCCATGGCCTCCACAGCTTTTGGGACGGTCTGGAGCTGCATGAGAGCATGGTCCTCTCCTGCAACTTCCAGAGGGCCTGGAGTAAAAGCACATCCCATCCTTGTACAACTCTTTCTGCAGTTTCTGACAAAACATAGGATACTCTTTTGAGAATAGTTATCAGGTTTTGGTGAATCTGGCATGGCACCCAAAATATTGTGGCATGTCACCTTTGACATGCATGTCATAAGTTCACCATCATTGGATTAAGTTGTTCTTCTCATATCAAACTGTATGGAGAGGAATCAGCCACTGAGAATTGTTGCTATTTGCATCAAATCATCAGTGGCAGGTTTGAGCATGATGCTGATGATATTTATGGCTGTGTTTACTACATTTCTAGGTCACCTCATTCTTGATCTCCCAGCTGAGATGTTCGTTCAATACAGTGAAATACTGTCATGCAACAGTAGTTAGGGTACTCGTTATAATAAACAGCCATCCATGTTTTTGAAAGTGGATGCACAGATATTCGGTTCATAGAAGCTACTGTATGTATTTCTAGAATATTACAGATAAAACTGCCATTATATCCAAATTATTTAACTGTTCTCAGTTTATTTATTTTTTTGCAAGATTTAAGTGCATCTAACAAATATCACAATGAAGTTTACTAGGAAGAATGTTTCCATTTTATTTGTCAAGTTAGCTGTAACATTATCAAGCACCCTTCTCTTAGGGCAGAAATATTTCCCCTTAATATCCCTATCCCCATATCCCGAATCTCCCCATAGTTCCAGTGAAGTTGAGTGATTTCTTCTTCTGTTATTGAAGCCCCACCAGATTCTTCCCCTCTCTTTCAGAACTAATTAAACTGAAGACTTGTAAAAGATACTCAGCATGCAAATGCTTTTCTGTGAAGCTTCCTCAAATTGCAAATGATCTGAAAACTGAAAAGAAGGCTATTTAAGAAAACACACATGTCCTTTGGGGTTGGAATAATTAGAGTATATTTGGTATAATTGGATTCATGTTTGGAAGCCGAGTTTTGTTTTCTTCTTGCAACTGGAATTTATATATTCGTGCAGGGGTCTGGGCCAGAACTGCATTTAATTATATTGAAAGGATAGCTAGGCTTTCATCCATCTTTACATCAGTGCCTTGATGTTCATAATTTATTTATAATTCATTCCCCCACTCAAATAAACAAATGCATACACTGAAATTTATGAGCATCTCTTTCCATTTTTTTTCCTAATCAAAAGAAAGGAGAAACTTACAAGAAATAAATGAGAGTGCAGAATATAGAGTGTATGCAAACCATTCCTTTTTGATGTCTGTTAATTTTTATAAAATGCCTAGGCTAATAGTTAAAATTATAAATTATTATATTAAAAATGGGAATAGATTCCAATCTATTGGAAGCACTGCCTTTTGGTCATTGCTTCTGTGGCAGCACCAGCTGGATTGGTTTTGTGTGTCATTGTCATGCCCTTATTTTTGGAAGAGATGCAAACTTATTTGTGCAGGAAGAGGACAATAAGGTTGCCAGAGGAAGAATGGCTCCTATACAGAGATTGGAGTTTTCCCTTATATAGTCTTGTACCAAACTTTCTTGGGCCCAGGTGAATCCAGCCTTCTGATCAGCTTCAGTTCCCTATTTATGAATAGTGGTATTCTTCCACTATTCCGTTTCCTAGTATATACTCAAAAAAGCAAATGCTATAAAATACAGAAGAGAAGCAAACTTAGGTACTAGCTCAAGCTAAACTGGGACTACACTTTCGGAAGAACTGGAACATAGATATACCCAGCCAGATTATAGATTGCAAATCATATATTATAAGAAAATAAGACTTATTTTTGTAGACTTTTATAGAATATGTGGGTGAATTTCAGACATTTAGAACTATTCCCAATGATAACTATAGTTCACTATAAACTATAGTATATAACTGTCAAGGAGAGTCCTTAACATCAGGAAGATGTAGAAAAGTAATGTCTGATGTAAGTTACCTACCCAGAGAATGAAATATATTTTGGTGGGCTGCTCCTGGAATGCAGATTTTTCTCATCAATTTTACATTCCCATATAACATTTGGCATTTGTATTTTCATTTGTATTGAACCACTGCATTGAATCCTGTACTCTTCAGTTAGATGGCCCTTGGTCATATTGTGTGATAACAAAGGACTTTGGAGCCATCTAGATCCTTGTGAAGTTGATTGTGTTGCACACTTTTACAGATGTTATGTGTAACCTACTGCTCTCCTCTAGTTGCCGTTTCTCTTGCACAGTTTTTAGAGCTGGTTCGAGAGAGCCAGCATTATGGATATATACAACTTGTTCCTTGTTCCTGTGACTACCCTGAACTTGGTTGCACTGCTACTATTCACGTGGGAAATAATGAGATTAGCTGCTGCATAAAGTTGCCTAGCAATCAGATCAAAGAGGTCAATTTCAAAATCAACAGAATAAGGTGCTGGCAAGTCACATTTCTTGTAAGTACCTTTTGTATAACTTTGTATCTGTCAAGTACTTGTTTAAGGGTTATTTTCTGAGGGGGTTGATTGTTGCTGCTGTTGTTGTTGCACGTCCTCCAGAAGTCCTCTTATGTGCATTAATATTCCTGCTTTATATAAATAGGACTGTGAACAATAACACATAGCCCATACATAGATTGTGTGTGCATGTATTTGCTACATCCTGAACATCTGGTAAGAAGCTATTTGTGCAATCATTGTATGCCATCATTGATCATATATTAGGACAATCTTCACTGACCATACCTTAGGACAAATTGATATTATCCTGAAATTGCAACTCTCTGAAAGCCTGGAAATTTGGAGTTGTATTTCAAACACATTGAGACTACCAAGTTGGGAAAGACTATTAGGAAATGTCATTTATAACCCAGGCCCCCAACCTGATCCCTATGACACTAATGTAACCTTTGAACTACCTGCTGGCACTGGCTAGGCTCCCTCTGATTTTTAAAAAAATATTTATTATCCCCTCCCAAATAAATAAATAAATGGAAAACAGGCAAATAACTATCCTCAAGAATCTTTATTTTCAAGAATGAGGACGAGCCCTGCATAAACTGCCTAGGCATTCTTGGAAATAAAAGTCAGAAGGGATACAATTCAGTGCTTGCTTTGGAAACATACACAGCGGCCCTCAAAAATGGAGATAAGTTGAGATACTAGAGGTTAGAGGATTTGGCGGGAAATTACTTCATCAGCTTGTTTTCAGAGGGCAGCCATTTTGTAACATGCTTTCAAAACACCAAAAATATCCATTGGTACCAAAATGTTTTGAATCCCTGTGGTATAGGCTGCTTGTAAAGGGAACAAAAATATACAAGCTTTTTAATATAGATTAGAAGAATAGGATGGAAATGGGAGATTGACATGTTTCTCCCAAGTGTTTTCTTCTTCTTCTGGGTAGTTATTTAGGCTATAAGCTTCAAACTATAAGCTCCAAACGTGTGTTATGATTTCTGGTACTCACATGGAGTAACAGAAGCTGGTATTTCTTGAAACATATAAACATCTCAGTAGCAGACATGAAGCATCCCTGGGCTCAACTTACAATTATTTGTGTAATGACTTTGATGACCCGGGGTGTGGCACAAAAATAACAAAGTCACAAAAGTAGATAAGTTCCCTTTAATACCTCCAACTTGGCCCCCAATATCCAGTTATCCTCGGCTGGAGAGCAAACTCTTCCAAAAACAGTCTACAAAGGAAAGAAATGCAGTCCAAACCCAAAGTACAGATAAATTAGAAATTAAAAAAACCAACACAAACCACACTGAAGTAATTAACATGACAGGCCAGGATAATAAATTGCAGACTTCCAAAAGATAATGAAGCACACAAAGTTGGGAGGATGCCAAAACCCAGATAAGCCTCGACAAAAATAATGCACGCTTTGCTTCCAGCAAGGTGTTGTGTGCAAACGCCCTTCTTATATCCTGTTCTCCCAGCTGCAACTAATGAAAGGGATCAGGGCCCTTTTTTCTCCCATAAGCCATGTTGCTCCCTTCTCCGTTCCTCCCTGTGTGCCCTAGGATAAAGAGGGGGTGGCCCTGGATCTTCCTCTGAATGCCCAGTCGGACTGTGCCCTTCCCCTGTTTCTTCCACAGTAACCGGAGCCATACTCCCACTCCCTGTCAGCTGCTCAATCTCCCCCTCAGAATCAGACTCCAACAAGGGCATGACAATTACCATTCAAAGTTACAATGGCATGGAAAAAGTGACTTACAACTAGTCACACTTACAACCATCACAGCATCCCTGTGGTCACATGATCAAAAATAGGGCACTTGGCAGCCAACACATATTTTTACAAAAATTGCAGTATCCCAAGGTCATGTGATCATTATTTGAAAACTTCCCAACCAACTTCCAACCAGCAACGTCAACGGTGAAAGCTGGATTTGCTTAATGAGTGCATAATTCACTGAACAACTGCAATAATTTATTTAACAATCATGGCAAATAAAAAAAAAATCATGGCAAAATCAGTTATGACTCACTCCATAACCATCTTGCTTAGTAATTGAAATTCAGGTCCCAATCGTGGTTGAGGACTACCTATATTCCAAAAAAGCTAGAGCAGATGTGGTAAAATCTCCAGTCCACAAACCAGGTATTCATCTAGCTCATGAATCCTTCCAGGAATTCTCTTTTCCTTCCTCAAAATCCCACCTTCAGGGCAGCGGTGTATTAATCCCTCCAGGTCTCTGCAGAAGGAACTGCCTGAGGACAAACCAGAGTGATTGGCCCCTGCCTTTTTTTTATTGCAGAAAGAAAAAGATTCCCAGGCAAGCATTAACAGTCTTATCTTTTGTTGGTGGCTAGCAGAATCTGTCCCTTTTCTTGCCTTTATCTTTACAAAGGCCTCTTGGTTAATGTGGTGATCTAATCACAGCCCAAGAAGAAGACAGCAAGCAACTCAGGAACCCATCAATTAATCATGATGTTTAACTGTTGGCTATACGTGCATGTCTACAATATATACGGTATTTTATAAAAGGATCTGAAAAAGGACACCTGGTTTTCAAAATTTTGCAGTTTATCCTCATTCTTTAAAATGTGTACCTGATGGAGTTCTTGATAGAATCTTGTAGTATCATAAGCCTCTAGCCAAGAAGATATTTTTCTATATTTGATATTTTATTCAAACTTGGAACTGCCTGGTGATGGAAGGTAAATCTGGACTCTACGAAATAGAAACATGATCCTTCCAGTCCATTCCTTGCAAAATATCCTTGCTAAATTCAAGAAAAGGCATTTTTTTCAGGATCACAATACCTAGGTTTTAACAGTCTGCAAATACTGATTTTAGATGGTCAGGAGTTGTTTTCTTTTATTATTTATTCTCTCCATTTTCTATCTGACATCTTAACATTATATATCTCTGTTGTTCTACACAGCCTATCCAAGCCTTGTTCTTTTTTCTTGATTTGCAGAAGTGACTTTTCCCTAGAAAAAGAAGTACACAGTCTGGATGGAAGAATTTAGGATATACTGTTATATGGCTTTTGTTGTTCTTGATATTCTTCTCCCTTTTGACTATTCAGGGATCCATTTTAGGCCATGGACTTGATCAATTCTTGGAACTCAGAATCGAGTACAATGAATCCGATAAGTGGAAATGGATTGTCTTCAATACAAAGCAGGTTTGTTTAGGTTCATATAAAAGATTATTATATGATAAATATCAGGGTTATTAATCTTTTGCAGCCCAGGTACACATTCCTGTTAATATTGATCCAAATAAGGATTCAGCAAATCCTCTTTCCTAATTAACTAAATATTTTACAAACAAAGATATGTTTTGCCTCTGAGTTACATCTCTTCCCCCTTTCTTTAACTGGTTACAAGAGACAGGGTTCACTTCAGGATGGGTTTGGTAGGGTTCAGATCATATGCTAGTTTAATACATTGGAGAGAAAAAATAACATACGATGTCACATTTAGCAACCAATCCAGAATATGTAAACATCAGCTGGGATTTTTTTTTAATAATGTTTTTGATTAATGATCATCTTTTTTCTCCAAATAATTACCTATGAATTGAAATTATCATATTACTGATGAACTGGAGGAGTAAGACATCCATTCATTGAAGAGAGAACTATGTGGAAAACAGGTGAATGTGCAGTGCGTTTATTTGGGAATAAATGCTTGCCCAGTGAATTAAACAATATCATCTAAATAGGGTTTTATTTTTTTCCTCCCATGTTTAATTTCCTGGAAAATCTACTCTGATCTCTCTTCTGTGTTTTTGGATTTTGGCTTTTTTTGTGCTGTATAGATAGAAGGGAAGATTGGTTTTTACCTGTAATTGGTAACTCTTGGCTCACAAGTTAGAAAGCTGGGTTTTGCGGTTTTTAAAAATAATGTTTATCATTTGGGGAGGTGTGTTTTCAATTCACTACCATCTTCAGATATATCATAGGCTGAGACGAATATAAATTATAAAAAGGAATTCAATAAAAAAAAGACGTTTCATGAAAACTTAATTCCATCTTTATAGGCATTTCTTCTGAGCAGTTGCTTAAAAAAGATTATATCAGAGCAGCTGATGACAACAACCAAGAACGATCAAGAGATGGTGAGCAAAGTTGACAATCTTACTTCATTGAACATGGATGTTAAGTTGTTAGCACTAAGTTGTAATGCAGTGTGATGACTACTGTGTGTATATCCGTGGTTTTCTTGTGGCTTTCTTGCCAGAATATTCTATGTTTCTAAGAGGTAAGACTCAGTAAAAAGGGGCATCTCCACATATGGATTTTGTTCCAAATGTGCTCTGAACTTGTGTGATGATATAGCACTGGATACTTTCAAGTGCTGAGGCGATATTTTCCTGGCTCTGCATTGATTATTTGATATCAGAACAAAACTGGCATTTTTATTGGCAATGCTATGGCTTCCAGCTGGCTCTGGAAGTTTGAATCCCATCACCTGTTTTCTCATTCTCCCGCCAAAATCAGGGGATTGCAAAATCATCAAGTTCCCCCTTTGTCCTCCTCTGCTTTCCTGCTTTCCATTTGAGTGCTCAGCTCTCTTTTGGTGAAACAAGGAAGTAGGGGAGAAGCAGTGGTGGGATTCAAATTGTTTTACCACCGGTTAGGTGGGCGTGGCTTGGCGGGCGTGCTTTGCCTAACGCCAGCAGCTTTCCCCACACCAGCTGAGACCTGCAGGGCCAATCAGCTGAGAGGATAAAGAAGAGAAAAGCGCAGGGCTGGGTAGGAGAGCCAATCCTGTGCTTTTCTCTTCTTTTCCTCTCAGATGATTGTGGAAGATTTTTTTTCCTCCTCTCAGCTGATCTTTGGCTTTTTTTTATTACCGGTTTGGCCAAACTGGTCTGAATTGGTAGCATGCCACCACTGGGGAGAAGTAACTCAGCAGTGCACTAAATCCTGGATATGGAGCTCAGGTAGGGTGGGAGGTCAGTCAGTCTTTTTTTTTACAAGTGCCCTGGTTCATACGGTCCTATCAGGTGCAGCCTGCCAGTCTCTGAAAGCTCCTTTTTACAAGCGCCCTGGTTCACATTGTCCTACCAGGTGCAGTGTGCCAGTCACTGAAGGCTCCTTTCTTCAGCGTCTAGGCCAGGGGTGTCCAACCTTGGCAATTTTAAGCAAAGCTGGCTGAGGAACTCTGGGAGTTGAAGTCCGCAAGTCTTAAAATTGCCAAGGTTGGACACCCCTGGTCTAGGCCTTCTGGTGTTGCACCTGGCTGGTTTTCTGGCTGACATCCAAACCCTCCCCTCTCATTTGCTGATGCCGTTTCTCTCAGTCCAGCGTTGACTGGCTACAAGGAGAAAAAGGCTGCTGTGTTAGAAGGGGAAAACATGTCGAGCCATATTAATTGCGTTTTATTAATTCATTTCGCCTGGTACTCTCCGCTTCTTGGTTCTGCTCAACTCTTTTTTTTTAAACGTGGTCCTGATATGATTGTGAAACCTCCACCCCAACAATACCTCATGGTAGAAAGAATGATGTATTGTTTGTGTAATAATTTTTTAATTCAAAGTAATTTTAGCCTTCTCTCTGACCCCTAGCCACAACCATCTTCTATGTAGTGGTAACAAAATGAAAGAAAAAGCAAATGATTACACACACCTTTCTTTAATTGGTCCATGAATGCTGTTGCCGTAAGAAGTTCTTAGAGCAATGATGGTTGTTACCAGTATAAAAGCAACCTTTACAGTTACTTCTTCAATCTCATTCAGTTAAAGGCAGCATATACATCTCCGGATAATCCATGCACTATTGAACTGTTGGGGGAAAAAATCCTATCATTCAGTTAGAACCAGTTTTCCTGTAATTTATTTTTATTATAACTGTTCTCTATAACAGTGCTTCTGAACTTTTTTCCTCCAGATGGCCCCTTTCCAATTCATTTCTCTCCTGCACCCCTCTCCCCTTCCGGTCTCGATCCCATTATTAGTAAAAAAAAGATTAGCACTTACCCATTTGGCCTGAAAATAGAATGCATGTATATTCTATTCTGACAGTATTTGCAGTGTAATATATTTTGCTTTTCACTGGTCCCCTTGGCACAGGCCATGGTCCCAGTTACATGATTTATGTCTGTGGCCCCCTTGAAATATCCAAGGCTCCCAGGTAGCCATAAGACCCCCCCCTAGCTAAGAACTGCTACTCTAGAGTAGTATATCTGAACCCCAGCTTCTTTAAGATGTGTGGACTTCAATTCCTAACCAGCGTCCATTCATCTTAAAGTTCCTGATACTGAAAAACAGTATTTTAGAAGGATGTAAACTTGATCTTGACCTTCTATATGTCATCTTTTCAAATATCTATCATTGCTAGAGGATCAAAATGCAATGAAATGAGTAATTTAAAGTAACAAAGTTATTCTGAGTTCATCTGTTTTTGTTTTTGTTTTCTCAAAAACATTCTTAGCTCCTTCATTTATGATCAGAGACTAAAACAAAGTCCTTTGGTCATTTTCATTCCCCTGCTCAGACCCCGTTTTAATTTCTCTAAAACTGTAATGATGCGGAGAACTGGACATAATACTCAAGGTGGGGGTCCAGCCATCTTGAAAGAACTCTGCTCAAGGAAATAAACTTGACGGAACATTCTGGCTACCTGTGTTTCCTATTTGTGTAATGGTGTTTTTGTTTTCTCATTTAACCTATCAATTTAGCAGATTGAGCATCCAGAATTAGACACAGCTAAGAAAGTAAGCATCCGTCCAAGTCAGGTTTGTAAATTAAATTACATAATTTGGGTGGTAAAAAGACTGGGTTGAGTAGGGGAGGTTTTGAGATGACAATTATGCTTGGAAGTTTGAAGCTATTAGTGAGCCTCATCATCTAGCGTTATAAATTGCATCAACTCATGGCTAATTTTGACCTTAATTAGTTTAATAAATCACTGTTATGAGGTCATACATTATGCTACATCACAAACCGGAGTGTGTATAAACTAGCCATTGGATTTCTATCTTTTCTGATGACAATGACTTAAAGTAAATATGGATATCCCCTAGGGGTGGGATTCAAATTTCTTGACAACCGGTTCTGTGGGCATGGCCTAATTTGTGGGTATGGCTTGGTGGTCATGTGACTGGGTGGGTGTGGCTTGTATGTAAATATTGTAAATATTTATGTAAGTATTGAATTTTTAATAAAAAAAGAGAGCAACTTTTACCCAAAATCAGGCAAAGCAGATTGAGTTGCTTGCAGAATCACAGATTCACCCCCCAGATCTACCTTTCTGCAATCTGCTGACTGAGTCTGTACTGAAAAATAGAAGCTTCAGTCCTAAGGAAGGTTCAGCTCTGCCCTCAGGTCACTTCTCCGTCACCCTCCAATCCCCTGAATACCACTCCTGACTGGGCCTCAGGGAAGCCTTTTGGGTGAAGGCAAAGCAGTACAACAGTGATTTAGATTAGCTAGAAAGCAAGAAATGTGACAGGAAGGGAGGGGAGGGGCCAGCCAGTGGCACGATTCTCCGAACTGCACAGAATCTTAACAACTGGTTCTGTAGAACTGGTCCGAACTGGTAGAATCCCACCCCTGATATCCCCAGTTTAGCAGTGCTTAGCCAAGCAACCTCAATATTCCTGTTGGGCAGATTATTAACCATGGGCAAATCATGGAGAAAAAGTCACAATTTCTCAATCTTGATAAGGATCACTGGTTGAGAATAGCAAGAGAGCTCTTTCCCATGGCTATTAACAGTGGTGATACAACTGTCTTCCCAAGAGTCAGTGGGGTTAATGCAATAAAGAAGGGAGTACATTTTTATTTATTTATTTAATTTATTCTATTTGTCAATCGCTTACAAGATAATAGGTATAAGTATAAACATGAGTAAGGATACAGGAAATAGGTACAAATAAATGGGGACAATATGACAGGAACGGTAGGCACCATTGTGCACGCCCCTTACAGACCTCTTAGGAATGGGATGAGGTCAACAGTGGATAGTTTGAGGTTAAGGGAGTGGGGGTTAGAGGATGTAATAACAGAGTCAGGTAGTGTATTCTAGGCATTGACCACTCTGTTGCTGAAGTCGTACTTTCTGCAATCAGGTTTGGAGTGGTTTACATTACATCTGTTGTGTGCTCTTGTATTGTTGCGGTTGAAGCTGAAGTAGTCATTGACTGGTAGGACATTGTAGCAGATAATTTTGTATACTATGCTTAAGTCCAACCATAGGCAGTGTAATTCAAGGTTGTCCAAACCCAAAATTTCAAGCCTGGTGATATAGGGTATTCTGTTGCAAGCAGGAGTACTCTTCTTGTGAAATATTTCTGGATTCGCTGAATTGTATTAATGTCCGATATACAGTGCAGATTCCAGACTGATGAGCTGTATTCGAGTATTGGTCTAGCAAAAGTGCTAGTTAGCACTATGCTCTAGTTAGCAATTCAGTATTTCCAGAGGAGAAGCTTCGTAAGATTAGATTTACAACTCTTAATGCCTTTTTGGCAATGCTGTTACAGTGAGCTCAGTGCTTAGGTCATTTGATATGGGTACTCCAAGGTCCTTGACAGAGTGAAGATCATCAATGAGGATATATCTGCCTAGCTTGTATTTGGTGTACTGATTTTTTTTACCAATGTGTAAGCATTTGTTGGTCGAGATTTGGAGTTGCCAAGTGTTTGACCATTCAGACACATTTAGTTGAAGTATGTATGTTTAGTGAGGGAATGGAACATTCAAAAGTAGCCTATTGCAGATCATAATTCACTGGGCAGCCACAAAGATTCTGTGGACACCAGTGCAATCCCCAAATTTAAAATATTTGCCTCACAAGATTACTACAAATAGTCTGTGGGACTTCATTGCTAATGAAACGTAGGGGCTGAATTTATTAGGGCATTTGCTGACTCAAATCAAACTGCTTCAAATTTCCAATAGCATCACAAGTTTTTTTCCATCTACAATTCTTTCTTCTTTAGTGCCTAAATGCCAAAAGGGGTTACTTGAAACACAAGAACAAATACACTTTATTGTTAGATGGATATTATTATCTTTTTAGTATAATATGATATTGTTTGCCATGCTTAAATTTACTTGCTGCAGTGATAGCCATACAGCATTTGCTGGATCAGACCCCTGAAAAAAAAATTTCTTTATTAGTTTAAATGTAAACTTAAGCTCAATGTGAAATTCTTTCTCTTAATCATAAATTTGGTAGCACTTTTTTTTCTCCCAATACTTTTATTTTTTGGTTAATGGATCATATTTTTTTATTCTCTACAGATATTTCATTCTGGTTTTAAGTCAAGAAAATGGCTACACAGTAGTAGATCAAATGAAGATGATTGTGTATTTGAGAAGATAAGCGAAGAAGATTTGTGATCGACACTGATACAGAGAATATTCATTCTTGCTGGTTTTGAAATATCACTTAGCCAGGATCCTTAATGGCAAGTTGCATCATTTAGGGCCCCAGACATTACAGAGAGTCCTTGACTTACAACCACAATTGAGCCCAAAATTTATGTTGCTAAGTGAGACATTTGTTAAGTGAATTTTGCCCCATTTTATGACTTTTCCTGCCACAGTTGTTAAGTGAAATCACTGACGTTGTTTAGTGACATGGTTGTTAAGTGAATCTGGTTTTCCTATTGACTTTGACTGTCAGAAATCCCACAAAATGTGACCCCAGGACACTGTAACTGTCATAAAAATGAGTCAGTGGACATGGGTCTGAATTTTGATCACATGACCATGGGGATGTTGCAATGGTCATAAGTGTGAAAAATGGTCAGAAGCCACTTTTTTCATTACCATTGTCACTTTGAACTGTCACTAAATGAATTGTTGTAAGTTGAGGGTTACCTGTACTACGTCAAAATGACAAGAGGACAGGTTTTATATTGTTTTAATAACAGCCAATGCAAGAGAAGACGCAACCGTCCTCAAGCACTGGAGATCCTGCTGTAGACAATTTACTTCAGCTAGGAGATTTGTAAATAGTTTGCCCACATGTTTGTTTTTGTATTATTTAAAAAATACCTTAAACTGAGAAATAGATCTTAGATCAAAATAACACCTGAATTGTCCGACAAAAAGTACTTAATGTTTGGGCAACCAAATCTTCATTACTGTTCATTTGGGATACAAACTGTCCCAGATGCTTTAATCAGGTGATAAATTATGCAATGCACTGAATGATAGTAAGAATTTCCTAAGAAGAAAGTGTAGTGTCTCAAAATCTCCTACTTGAACTGGAACCTGCTTTATACAGGCCAAAAAGGTATTTGTAGGGCATTTTTATAGCCCTATAATTTCATCTAGGAATTCTTCACTGAAAAAATCTACATTGTTTGATTACTCTCCCCCCTTTTCCTTCTTTGTACTGATAAGTGAAATAAACTGCCGCTTGGACTATTGGAATTATTCCAATGCATTAAAATATTGTCAAATGTAGTATTTTTGTGAAGAGTTTTAAAATAGTAATGTAATATGGGAGGTACAAGTGTGATAAATATTCTGAAAATGTAAAATGCTGGTTGCATTTTTTAAAAGAAGCACATTTCTAACAGACAGAATGCCTTCAAAATGGTCCAGAAATCACAATGTGTCTCAAGAAAATCTATTGTGTTGTCTTCCAGTGTGGAAAACCTTAGAACAGCAGTCCTCAACCTCTCTGGCTTGGCAGTCAGGAGGGGGAGGGGAAGAGGGGATGTTCTGTGTGAATGGCAGGCGCACGTGTCATTGCACACAACTTCATTTGCACAAGCAATGGGCGCGTGTACCTGCCGCTTACGCAAATGGAGCTTCATGCACAAGTGTGCACGCCCAGTACTCACACTAATGGAGCTACGTGCACATGTTCACTCACCACTTTCACAACCTGGTTCTGAACGGTCCACAGCCTAACAGTAGGCCACAGCCTGAGGATTGGGGACACACACACCTGGATAGAAGGTGCATAAAAGATACATGAAATACTTCCAACAGCATAGATGGGCTATAATAGTTGTTTGCAGAACATGGATTGCAATCATTCAACTAAAGGGTTCTACAGGGCATGGAGCAACTGACGAAGCAGGTGCTGCAATTCAACCCTCTCTCACTCACTCTCTCACAGTCACCCAAACCCCACCATGCTTGCGCCATGCCTTCCCTGCCACTTGTGCACCTCCTTGTTCCCTTTCCCATCTGATACAGCCATTTATTGACTGCAGCCTGCTTTGGTTGTTGGAAATTGGCACTTCATGACCCGTGATCCCTGTTTAACGAGAGCAACGGGACTGCAGATATTGCGGTCACTAAACAATGCGATCATGTGCTGTTGCATTTTGCAACTGCATAGCTTAGTGACAGAAATTCCAGTTCCAGTTGTCGTCCTAAATGGAATACTTTCTAAATGGAATACTTAAGGAATACTTTTTCCTGAGTCGCTCACTTGCATCTCCTGTATAGAGTTACCAGATAACACACAAAGGAGGATACAGACAATGGGAAAGGAGGATAAACAGAAAGAAAAGGATACACTTCGCATTCACAACAAAAAATACAGCAAAAACACTGCCAAAAATGTACTTTTTCAAGGAGCAACTGGACTTTCTGGTTTTTCTTTGAAGAAGTTTCGCTTCTCATCCAAGAAGCTTCTTCAGGTCTTCAGAAGAAAAACCAGAAAAACCCTAACCAGTTGCTTCTTGAAAAAGCACCTTTGGGACAACCATGACCTGGATGACTGAAAATCTCCACAGACATTTGCCAAAAATGTACTTAGGTCTCCAGGTACAGTACATGAATTTTTTTCAACAGAAGAAAGACTAGTTTTTCAGTTCTTTTTCAGTATTTTTCCAAAAAATCTTTATTGTTAAGAACTTATGATCGATGTAAGGTGATATAGTGACAAGATTTGCTTTTTCACCATAGAATTGTAGGTCGAGTCATTGACCCACAAACTACAGTGATCATAGATTTGAAGGGCTAGAATGAAGCTGACTGCTGGAAACAGGGAAATAAATATAGCAACATAAATCTCAGATTTCAAGACCGTCAGCAGACATGGGAAAGAAGCAGACAATCTACAAAGTCACACTATATAGAAGTCAATGTATAGAACACAATGACGATTATTGTATAAACATCACAACCGTCCCCCAATCTCCAAAAAATAGTCAAAAATGCAGAGAAATATTTTAAGCCTACATTTGCTGACAGAGGACAAAAAGAACACAGTCCTCCCTTTGCCAGGAATCTATTCCCTAATAGATAACCCTATTCCCACAGAGATGCATTAATGAGATTTTTCCAGGCTGATTTTCCACTCAATCTTCCTTTTGGTGGCTTTTCCCACCATACCAAATTTGTTCCCATTCTTCTTTGCTTTCAGACCATTTCCTGCAGATGGACAGAACCTCCATTTATTTCACTATCACCTTCCTTTTCTAGCTATGTCTCTGCTACCCTCAGTCCAGAAGCCTTTGGCTGCAGTGAAGGCTTCATTTGTCTCCTGATCTATGGTGCCATATTATCCAAATATGGCTTCTAGCACACAAACATTGGGGTCCTCAGTGCTAAATTATTGCTTTTTCTTAGCAATTAATGAATAAGCCATGATATACGAGCTCAACTTCTTCTTCTTGTGCCATATCCGTCATTGGACATTGGTGATCATGTTGGCAACCCTATTTTTATCAACAGCTGCACAAAAAAGTGCTGCTGAGTTTTGTCCAAAGCAGTTCCTTAGATTTTGAAGCCATGATATTTTTCTGCCTGGACCTTGTTTGCCTTCAAATTTTCCTTGGAGGATTAAGTGAAGTAGGCCATATTTTCCTGGGTGTCACATCACATGTCACATCAAAAAGACCTTGAATATGTATCAGAATGGTCAAACAAATGGCAACTTCAAATCTCAACAAATAAATGCTCTGTCTTATTGGCAAAAAAAATCAGAAAATAAAATACAGGCTGAATAGTCAAGACCTTGTTGATGATCCAAACTCTGTCAAGGATCTTGGAGTACTCATCTCAAATGACCTAAGTGCTAGAGCCCACTGTAACTACATAGCCAAAAAGGCGTAAAGAGTTGTTAACCTAATCTTACGTAGCTTTTTCTCTGGTAATATTACACTACTAACTAGAGCATACAAAACATTTGCTAGACCAATACTCGAATACAGCTCATCAGTCTGGAACCCGCATTACGTATCTGATATTAATACAGTTGAGAAAGTCCAGAAATATTTCACAAGAAGAGTTCTCCACTCTTCTACTCGTTGCAGAATACCTTATGCCACCAGACTTGAAATTCTAGACCTAGAAAACCTAGAACTACGCCGCCTTCAGTCTGATCTAAGTATAGTATATAAAATCATACATTGCAATGTCCTACCTGTCAATGAATACTTCAGCTTCAACCATAACAATACAAGAGCAAACAATAGATACAAACTCAAGGTTAATCGCACCAAACTTGATTGCAGGAAATACAACTTCAGCAACAGAGTGGTCAATGTCTGGAATACTCTACGTGACTCTTTGGTTTCTTCCCCAAACCCCAAAAACTTTAATCTTAGACTGTCTACTATTGACCTCACCCCTTTCCTAAGAGGTCTGTAGGGGGCGTGTCCCCAGGGCCTGTACCGTCCCTGTCCTATTATTTTTCCTATATGTATCCATGTATTCATAACTATGTTTTTACTTGTACCTATTATCTTGTAAGCAATTGACAAACCAAATAAATAAAATAAATAAATGTTCAAAATATTCTAATTTGTGCTTTTTAATGGTTTTGATGATTTCCCTTGGCTTTCCCAGATGGCTCATCGCTTCATTTCTGATTTTATCAACCCAGCTTATATGTAACAACTGTTTGTAAATCCACACAACCCAAACCCAATAAATCTCAGAGCCCCAGTGGCGCAATAGTTAAGAGTGCAGTATTGCAAGCTACTTCTGCTGCAGCCAGCTGCCTGCAATTTGGCAGTTCGAATCTCACCAGGCTCAAGGTTGATTCTCAGCCTTCCATCCTTCCGAGGTGGGTAAAATGAGGACCCAGATTGTTGTGGGCAATATGCTGACTCTGTAAACCGCTTAGAGAGGGCTGTGAAGCACTATAAAGTGGTATATGTACTGTATTTCAAATAACAGATAATCAGAGTTGGTAAGGACCTTGAAGGTCATCTAGTCCAACCCCCTGCCCAAGCAGGAGACCCTACACCATTTCTGACAAATGGCAGTCCAATCTCTTCTTGAAAGTCTCAAGTGATAAATATAAGTCTAAGCGCTATTATGCTTTGGTATATGATTCCACACCCTGCATAAGTCCTACCCTGTACATGACTGCATCTAGCAAAAGCCGTAATGTCACCTCATGACGCCATCACACACCAAAAAATGCAAAATGGCATAGGCTGCCCCTGCCATTCATGTGCGGATGGATGCATGCAATAGCACCTGTCCCCACGGGGGGGGGGGATCCATGCCAAGAGGGCAACAATCGATATTTTAC